AGTTCACTGCTGTCCTAATTGTAGTCTTCATCGAGTAAGGATATAAACTATCACAAATCCAACTAACCGCGCTTTCGTTTCAGCATAAGTGTATAGGCGGAACAGTGGAGGTCAATTATGACTTCCTCTGTTAGTTAATGTTGTATTACAGGCCTAAAGGAATGCTGTAGCCGCATTAGATGTTACGTTTGGCTGTTTTAAAGGTGGTATTCTATCAAAATTTTTACTCAGCCAGAATATCTGTTGCAATGTTTGCTACACTATGAGTGAAAAACCCTCACGACAACCTTAATCCTCACTCGTGTTTATTGCAGTACACATATGAATGATAATACGCACATATCCATCTTTTTGGGATTGATTTTGATTTCAAGGATGGCAGAATATTTCATCGATGACGATATATACTGCCCACAAAAAAGGAGTTTAACAACTTGAGGAAAGCTATTTGCGTTAGAATTAAATAATACTTGATAAAATTTAAACTGTGTGATACTGGAGATGATTTATTCTTCTTAAAAATTAATGTACTTTTGTAATATTTTCAAACAGAATACTGTTAACATTAATAATAAGAATAATAATCACACAGTTTACATGCAAACAGCAATATCCTTTTAAAGTTATAGGTTGACAAGCAGCTGTGTAATACAGTCTCTCCGCTGACATTTTACGAAGTAACAAAATGCAGAAAGGTATAATTATCTGAGCTATTGTGTAGATATTTGTTACATCGGAGTGTTACTGCTTTTGTGGTTGATATCTCACGTGACTACAACGACACAATAGCCAAATGATCACTTAAAAATATTCCCCACACTGAGTTAGACACAAAAGTCAGATTTAACTGCTACACTAGCGACAAACGTGGCAACAACAACTTCCATTATTCGCAATACAGGATATACCTATCATTGACACATCGTAGAAAATTTAAACCACAAATAAATAGTCAATATCGGATTGATTGTATGGCCTTAGAGATCCTCCAAAAATAAATTAGTCGAAAACTGTCCAGTCTGGCTATCACGTCAGTATAAATATCAATCATGACTTCACGGCTAACAGAGATAGGTTGTTCATCCTAACGCCTCCCCCATTCTAATAGATTTTCAGTTGACGGATCACCAGAGGATATTTGTAAGACTGGGTACTCTTCGTCTATGATAATATCCAGGGATTTCATTACAATTAAGTAAGACTGAGCGCTCACTTAACAAGTATGAATGACCTCTACTGAAAATAAAATACAAGGTAAGGAGATTATGACAACGGTAGAAACCAGCACAGAAAGTTCCAGCCTGAATTGATGAATTGCTAGGGCTGAATCCTGTCTTATCGGTTGGGTTTCTTTTTTAGGTAATTTTAAGGGAGAACTCTGGTGAAGTTGTGTAACTCGAATTCACGACATGCTCATGGTATGCTAACGATTGTCTTGAATTATGCTTTTGAAAACACCTGCCCTCACAGTGTTCTGTAATGCTGTTGGAAGGTGAGTGCTTTATTCGACCCATATAACTCACGAATCTGTCGACAGATTGAAGTGATCAAATATGTCATTGATCCATGCATTACAAACCTAAAATTTATTCAGGAACAGTAATATTTAATAGTGAAATTGCTATCAACAAAATGCGAATAAAAATTCACATTTTTGGTGATCAGATAAATCAAATTATGTCAGGTTAAACGCCCCACATCTGAAAATTATAACAGACTAAGTAAGACGTGTGCATTCACGTAATTTGTAATGTAGACCAAAATCAAGTAAAATATGGTATGATGCATCTGTCAAGATAACAGCGTTATATTGTCTGGAGTAGAACTGAACTGATTTTATTAATATATAATATAATATATATATACATAATATATAATATATTAATAATATAATGTGTGCGTCGGTGGCACAGTGGTTAGGACTCTCGCCGACAATACACATCGTCCGGGGTTCGAGCCCACGCCGACGCACACCTGATATCTACGGTCGGCCTGTGAATTTTGGGCTACCGATATCCACGCTGAAAATTCCACACTTGTATCAAAAGTACGGTGTGGAATCAAGCTGTAATCAATAATAAAAATTAAAAAAATAATAATAAGGCGTAATAAGAATACTTGAATCCCCTTACTTTATGTTAATTTTCGTCTTCAGCAGATATCAATTAAAGAATTTCTGAAAACCAAAGAATATTGGACAGCTGTTTCATCCTACTTCAGGACTCTTCATCATATTTTCACCCACGACCGTATTAAAATCCGAGGCGAGTACATTTTCACACAGATGGCCTATGAATTCTTCCTTATGCCGAAAATACTGATCCTTTACATTCTGTTGCCTTTTATATAAATATGTACGACAAGTACGTGTATCATCAAGAATGTCCGAAATGTTTTGCGCAAATACGCTACACGTTTCAGATAAATTGCGTTTTCCAACTGTTTGGTGAAAATTCTTTGATTTTTGATCTTTATTATTATTTCCTTGGGTTCCAAGTGGAACATAGAGCTTCCCATCTAATACTGCTATCTGCAGTAGTTTTCAGCCAGCTCCACGACTACCTTTGTTGTCTCATCTCCACATAACACGATGCTCAACTCATCGTTTACCATTCAGGTACTGCTTGAGACCCTGACACGTGATGTCACTCAAGGGTTTCCTTATGATTGATTGTTGATATAAAAGGGTAGTTTTATTTGAATAGAAACGTACAACAGGTACAACAATATCTATTTGAAAATTGATCAATACAATGAGTGGAGTAGACGAAATTATCGAAAATCAGGTCGAAAATTAAGATAAATTCACTACGTGCATCACACTCACTGTAAAATTATTGCTATTCTGACTTCAAATAGATATAGAGATATTATAATCAAGAAATAAGATTTAAGTAATCATGATGTGACATTGCTTTGACAATATATATACATATATATATAGCATTTAGATGCTCATATCATTTATTTGATGAAACCATATGCATTCTATTCAACATATTAGTCGGCTAAATACATTTTAACAACAGTAAGTGATACTGATGCCGTCTGTACACAACCTGATTACTCGTCGTTACGGATGTTAAAGACTTATCATGTAGATGACTGTGAGATATAGAAGCCAAGTAGCATTCCACAGAGGGAAGAAACTCATGACCTTCGTGAGTTACATGCCCGAAAATCGACTGAATTCAGAGTAGGAGAAAGAAGACAATGAATGTCCGATTTATCAAGGAGTTGTAGAAGTGCCTTTCTGAAGACTATCGACTTACTCTCAACTTCCTCGTTTTCATATTTCCTACCATTGGTGTCAGGCTATGATGAAATAAGTCTCAAATAACAGTTTATATCATCCTAGTCGATCCGGGATCATATCTCTACCCACTTATCAGTGAATTACTTCCATCTACCGATTCATGAATTTTCTTACTGCAGCTTTGAGCCAGGTAGGAAAATGTAGACTCTGTCCATCTGTATTTCCTCGGTGTGTCGTGAAGAACCAACAGTTAGAGAATTTTCATGCTATGGCCCATCATCTTAACCACACTTGTAATTATTTTATCTGCCACACATTTTCGTTTGGCCGTATTCCTTTTCTAAGTCTACTTCCATGAGAAATATGGCAACCTAAACTGATGTACTTTTGTACAGTGTTTTATGTTGATCATTCAGTTTAGTTCTCTCTTCTTTAGTATCTAACAGGTAAAATAGCCTCAAAAAAATGAACGCCTTAATATCTCTACTATTTTTATACCGACAGTATTCACCTAGAAATGACTATTATATTATTTTGCAATGGATGGTGTGATGAAAAACTATCCAATGAAGGACATACCAAATAACCTTAAACAACCAATCCGGTCGTCCTAATCTTAACATGCATTTCACACACCCTATACTGATTTTTTTTCCCAGTTATTGTTAGGATTAGGTTAGAGTAATGGTTGGTTTAGGCATACGTTTAAGTCTAAGTAAGTACTTAGGTATTAGCTTTAGATTTGTAGCCTTCCTATTCAAACCTACACTTAAAAGAAAAAAAACTTTTTGACACTGCAAATACTAACACATTATATGCAGTGTTTATTTATTTGTAAATCTTCACACATTTACGAATCACTGAGCCTACTGCCTTGACTGTCTCTTTTTTAATCACGTAAACACGTTCATATGACAACCTAATATGTGACTCTAATTTTATTGATTATCCCCATTTTTGTAACAATGTCTAATTCTACTTCTATTAATGCTGTTTATCCTAGTCTGCACGATTGATCACGAGCTGACATCAGTTAGAAAAATCTATTGAAAAACCTGGAAAGCTGTTTCGTCCTAGTTCGTTACTCTTCATCAGTCCTGGGGTTCGAACCCCCGGCTACGAAGCGAGATCGTAGACCATTAGGTCCCTAGGATCCGATTCAAAGGTCCATGAATTCCAACTGCTGCCATTTCGTCACAAAAGATATATTTAGCGCAATCGCCAGTCGATGTCAAGGGCAAGTAACTGTCCTCTTGCCTGACCCACTGGTTCGCTTAGTTTGCTTAGGAAATATGTTCACCAATGGCATTATGCGTTTTGACAGTAAATGTCTGAATCGCAACCATCCTGTTTCACACAAACACACACACACACACAACAACTACTACTACTACAATATACTTTTTTGTCCTTATGTGGTTGTAGGTAGAAGTCCTAGTTAGTAGTAAGTAAGTGAGTAGACTATTTCTTAAAGAAAACAATAAAGTAATTTTTTCAGTGTAATTGTATTCATAGCAGTTAGGAGGCTCGCCGGCTATGCACATAGTCCGAGGTTCGATCCCCGGACGACGCACTTCTTTACCTCACTAATCCAGAAATAATGCTGGTAAAGAGGAAAGGTTGGGCATGAGGCTAGCAACACCATCCTGTAAAAATAAACATCACTGCTACAGAAACTTCAAGCCACTAGCTTGAGGCCCTATGTTTCGATGGGAACGAGAAGGAAGAAAAAGTGTATTCACTGGGCTGGATGATTTAATTACCTGTCTGCATGCACAACATCTTTAGCTCTAACTCTACACTAAAAACATGGAATACCACCCCCACCAGGTTAGGCGTTTCACATACAAGAAGAAAAAGTATAATCCAAAGCGATTACAAAATTTATTGATTTAATCAGTATGATAAAGCTGATGATGGTTATGATGATGATGACGACGATTATGATGAACAAACTGTCCTCCTCTTTGCTGTTTGCATGTATATACTCAATAAACAGTAATATTCACAGTAGTAGTAATAATAATGGCAACAGTTTAATAATAACAATGGTAATATGGAAAAATATTAATATTTCAAGTTTATTTATTATCACCAGTATCAAAAATATATGAATGTATAACAAATGGAAGCCAGAAGGCAGGAATATAAAGCAAAAAAATAGAATATAAAAGCAAAAAATGGGGGGGGAGATAACTGCTTTCTTTTAACGACAATAGGACCTAATAATACATGGTGCACATTTGTGTATTGTTTATTTATGTATTTATTTATATATCTATGCGTGTAGGTGAATATTAAAAGTGAAATTAGTCAATCTCCTCACAGTTTACAATGGTTTATAATAGCCAACTTGTGATTTGCACAGTGGACATATATGCACAACATCTTGTGTAGATTCAAGGTAGAAGGGGATTAAACAACACAACACCCATAGCCTAAAATTGTGAAAAGTAAACTATGATTATATGAGTTGAAATCAAATAAGGATAATTTATTTCTTTTGCAATTTAGAAAAAATATTCATTCATTAAAAACACAAAATAATTGAGCGAAGAATATCCTTTTCGATAAATTCGTCTTCTGACTGTACAATTATATATGTATGCTTATATACACAGAATAATCTAGATTAGTAGGCAATAACAATATTAGTGTTTTTTTTAAATAATATCAAATTGTACAGTATGATCAACGCAATTACATTTCATTAAAGATAGTTAAATAATAATGATAACAATAATAAAGATATGGTAGCAAAATGGAATATCAACTAAAATTAAGAAAATTCCACAAAAATTCAGGATCATTCAAACCTAAATGGCCAAGGTAATGATAATGTCTTAACGAACTTCTTTTGGATGCACAAATTAGGCTTGTTAATATGGATCCCCACAGCCTCAGCAACATTTAGTAGTGGAACTCTTAAGGCAAAATTGAGATTCGTAGGTATGAGATTCAGGTAAATGACCCTGAAAGCATCGTTAACGTCAGTCTTGTGTTCTGTATCCACAAGATGAAATAGAACAGCACTGCGAATATATTTTATTCTGCGTATATATATATATATATCTGAGGGGCCAGAAAACGAATTTATCAAAAAGGATATTCTTTGCACAATTATCATATTTTATATCAAAATCTTCCCATATATTACTTTGATATGATAGTGTTCTCTCATTTGGGTGATTTACATGAGAAGTTTTCATTATCTTTTTTCTTATTCTGGACAATATCTTCGCATTAAAGTCTGCGCTGAACATGTCTCCTGTCAGCTAGATGGACATGTGAAAGCCTAGCAATTTAACCAGTCATCAGTTCAGAGGACGCAACCACATCAAAATCATCCACCTGAGCTACAACAAACCCTCTCTCTGTTATACACATATAATATTTTTTTAAACTAAAACTAGGTAAAAGAAGGACTAATATATATATGTAAGGGAACCCAATTTAGACAAATATGGATTTTCGGTAATTTTTCATCAGGTTTTACAACTACATAATAAAATTTGACTAAGTACAGACATTTCATACCAATGTGGTTAACAGAACTAAAGTTGACGCGTAAGGTGGTCTGGTAGATGACAACAATAAAGCTGATCACAGTAATAGTGATAGTAATAACAAAGGTGAATACATACGACTGTTTATACAATCTAGGTAGTCGATCATTGTCAAAGTGTAACTAGAAAGTATGCATACATCTAACACACATCCACAACTTTATTTAAGAGATGCAGACAAAGGCGTGTTAGTCTTATATGACGAAGCTTGACTCTCCTGTTCTACAAGTAAACTACCTATAACTAATTGTAAATTTAAAAGGTTAAAGTAGTACCAGATCGTTAGTAAGCGTATTACACACATGATACAAAGATCCTGAGAAGAAAAACAGAAACACCTCATTCAAAGAAGTATTGTAGTGAATTCATTAGTTATCTTACACCAATTAAGAAAAGTAAGTCAGCGAATTATACATCTCATCCAACAGTTATACGACAATGCTGCATGCCAAGTAATCCACAACGGGAAACTTACGGAAGTCTTCGAAGTGAGGACGGGAGTGAGGCAAGGCTGTCTACTATCGCCAATGATTTTCCTGATTGCAGTAGATTGGATAATGCAACAAACAGCGGGAAATGAGGAAACGGGCATAAAATGGATTCACACAAAAAACTTGGAGGATCTGGACTTCGCCGATGATATATTTCTGATTTCCCACAAACTGGAGGATATGCAAGTGAAAAGCAACAAGCTGGCAGAAGAAGCATCAAAGATAGGACTTCAAGTGAACATAGATAAAACACAGGTGGTGAAGATTTCTGGCCAACACCAACAGCAGCAACAACAACAGACAACAATCAGCCAGCATAGATGGGAGGAACCTGAAAGAAACAACCTCCTTTACCTACATGGAAAGCATCGTTTCAACTACAGGCGAACGAAACTGACGAGGATATCAAAGCAACAATCGGAAACGTAAGACAACCTTTCACTACTCTCAAATCTGTGTGGAACTCATTCAGCATCAAAAATAAGATCCGGATTTTCAACTCCAATATGAAGTCAGTGCTACTATACTGATCAGACACTTGGCGAGTCATAAAGAGCATCTCAAACAAACTACAGACCTTCATTAACAGTTGTCTTCGCTCAATACCCAAGATCAGATGGCCAGAAAAGATCAGCGACAGAGATCTATGGGAGCGAACCAACCAGGAATCGATTGTGCAAAAAATAGGCAGGAAGAAATGGAGGCGGATTAACCATATTCTGAGGAAGCCAGCAAGTGACATCACTAGACAAGCCATTGCTCGAGTGGAACCCGAAAGGGAAGCGGCGAGTTGGTCGTCCACGGGTGACTTGGAAGAGGTCATGTGAACAGGAGATGAAAGCATGTGGGCAGACTTGGAGCCAGGTGAAAACTCTAATGGAGAACCGAAGGCAATGGAGACGTTTGGCTGAAGCCCTATGTTCCTCTAGGAATTAAAGGAAATAATAATAATAAGCCAGCGAATAAGTGTACAAGTGACACATAAATTTCACTTGTACTAATATAGAATTATCATCTTAGATCCAACAAAATGTTTTTCTACATTCATGAATTCCTAATATCCCGAGGATAGACATCAGATTTTGTATAAATAGCTTGCTTTTCGTGAAGTTTTCTTTAGGGATATTTAAAATTTAATAGAGTAGTCACTCAAAAACACACTGACTGAAGTAGCACACTAACACCAGTGTGTTCCCAAGATTGAGGTGTTACGGTGTAATAGATAATAATAATAATAAGGGCTAGTGGCGACTTAAGGGTAGGATCATTTCTGTTGTCCAACAGTCAATGTCACTGCTAAGATACAATGCGACTTGTGGTTTATTAGCTTGACCGCTTGATTTTCAACTATTGAGTCGTAAATTTGAACCCTACCACTAGATGTACAATACTATGATTTGAGTAGGGTTAGGTAATATCAACAGCTCCCAAAGAATAGATGTGGATTACTACCAAATACATGTAAGTGTTTACGGCTGTAGTGTAACGTTTTGTTTAGCATCACCTTAATTTTGATGTGGTTTTGTTCTCTGAGCTGGATGGTTAATTTGCGAAGCTTTCATCACCCTACTGGGTGACATCTTTAGCGCATACTTCAAATTGAAGTATGCGCTAAAGATGTCACCCAGTAGGGTGATGAAAGCTTCGCAAATTAACCATCCAGCTCAGAGAACAAAACCACATCAAAATCATCCACCTGAGCTACAAATCTTCTCTATCATATCTAAATCTTACGAGCGGGATACGCTTCTCTCTGTTCGAAAGTGGGAAGACTTCGCCAAAAGGCAAGGATCCACCAGAGAACAATTATTCTTTCTCCATGAGGGCCTTCGTCATCAAATCCTACCAAACAGTGTAAAATTACCTTAATTATCGAACATTGATGTAACATAGCGGTAAAAATGTGCAGTTTTGAGAACGCGTACTATTTCAATTCAAAAAAGGAAATATACTTATCACAGCAAATTCAAATGATCAGATCAAGAAAAATGCTTACCCCATAAGACAAAGAACACCGCATAACAACCAGGCTAATAAACCAGCCTCAGATCTAGTTTTTGTAACTACACTATTATGACAGTATGGACATACGATACCCACAGGATTCCATTTGAATATTGTAGCAGGAGGTTGGGTCACAATAACTACAATTTATGATTAAAGAAAAATAAGGATGAGAATAATCTGTTACATTAAACAGACAATAAAATGATGGCTAATAAATTAATTCTGTTGTTAACTGTGAACAAGCTAACACATGCATGATTTAACAGACTGATCTTACTTTAAGTTCGCTGAAAGATTGAGCCCGAACAGCTTAGTGTTAACGTCTCTGATTGCTGAACTGGGTGACGCGGGTTAGGATCTCAGGGGGAGACATAAGTTACTTCAAGGTTGCAGAGAGGCTTTGCTGATAAGTGCCAACAGGTCCACAGTAATTCAGGTTTGGGAAAGTTAGAATAAAGATTATAAAAGTCTACACTGGCCAGTAGTTATAACATCATCTTATAACACCAGGCTAACTGTATCAGTTTACCTTTGGGACTTTTCATCTGAATAAGTTGGATAAACAAATCAGTTTTATTGCAAAAGCATCTGCAAATGTGATCATATTGTAGGAAGAGTTAAGTAGGTGAAAAACAAATTAACGGCAGTAAAAGTACGGCAAATGCGTAAAATACACAGATAAACATGAGGAAATTGTCTGGTATACCACCGCTATTACATCCTTTATCTGGTGTGCTATATCTAATGATTTCAAGGATGTTGCATCACCAATAAAACCGTAATCCATTGAAGGATGCCAACTTAAAGCCCAGAGTTACTACATCTGAGAAACACCGGCTTTATCATTTCACTTTATGCCAATGCAGATATTCCATTGCAAATGAGTGCAAATAAGAACTACACCTAGTTCCACGGCATCCTGTTGGCTAACTGCTAGAGACAATAAACACTATACAAAATCTCCCAAAAAAAAATTCCTATACGGAAAGACCACCATCCACATAAACAAACCTTTCAAATATTTTAGACAATTTATCCGGTAGAGCCAATGTAGACATAAATATTCAGCATAGTACTTCGTGAAAAAAGTCGGTTATCAGATAAAGAGTTTTTAAGCTTAGCAACAATTCATTTACATATTCTACCGAATCAATATAATACAACATAGTCAAATCTGATAGTCAATTGCACAAACACAAACATAAATGCATTGTTTAACTCGACCGAATTACAAAAACATTTTTTATTTTTAAAAAATGCTCAGAATCTAAACAGATATTGCTGAAGGAAAAGTGCTGAAGTTCATTCGCCTCGCAGTCTGATGTTTATGCTTGTCATCTAGCGTAGTTTAAAGCTGCTGACAAAAAAACTTGTACAACTGCAGAATACACCGTAGAATGTCCAACTAACAGTCTTTTCATAAATCCTCTCTCTGTGTGCAAGTCTGAGGTCGGAACCAAGATATCAGTATTTTAGATAAGGCCAACCTATATTGTATCTACATAATAAAGCTATTAGAGAAGGGAAATATAACAAAAATATCTCTTTCTCTTTGAGAATTAATTCAATACAAATATTGATACAATTCTTCCCTTCTTATATACTTATATTAAGTGAATCAACAACGAATAATTTATTGTTTGACATCATATTTCGAGCCAACGCGATATCTGATTACCCATTAAAGGATGAGTGCAAAATTTACTCTGTAGTGCTTTATGGTTATGAAAAATGGCTTCTAAAAGTAGACATGAAAAGATTTCGGGCTTTTTGACGCCTTAACTCTTTATAACATCGTCTGTGTAGATGTTAAATGTTGGGTAGGGCAGACAAGTTAAACAGGGAGGTTACGAATCTTTATTTGAAGTCACCCAGGAATTGGTTACACATAGCGTATGATGCTAATATAATCAAAAAATTAGGATGGTTGGAATCGAAGACTAGGTAGATCAGATTATGGTATCATGTTGGGGTGGGGTGAAGTGGTCATCACTAGCAGTCTGACGTATGTAGGCTAAGAAACTCAGAAATCAACAGTTACAGAATCTCGGTGAAAGAGCGGAAAGTAAATCACGATAGCGCTAATGTATCTACATTACATTAGCTCAGCGATTATGGACATTCTTTAATTCCTTTATGTTCCCAGTGGAACAAAGGGCTTCAAGCTAGAGGCCTGAGGGGTTTCGGTAGCAGTGGTGTTTAGTTTTACGGAATAGAGTTGCTAGCCTTATGCCTAACCTTCCCTCTTTACCTGTCTTATTACTGGCTTAGTGAGGCACAGGGGTGCGTCGGCCAGGAATCGAACCCCAGACCACATACGTGGTTGGCGAGCATTCCACCGCTGTGCCATCGACGACGCTGTGGACATTTTTGCTGATCTTTAATTTATAGCGGACCCTGTCACGTTTACTTTTCTGAATTGTGTTGAAGTGCGATAACTTGAACTGATGCACTCCTGAGTATGGTATATTATTATTATTCCCTTGGGCTCCTAGTGGAACATAGAGCTTCAACTGAACGTCTCCACTTTTTTCTGTCTTCTGCTGCTGTACTTTTCACCTGCATCCATCTTAGTCCATACTGTTTTAACTCCTCTTCACACCATCTCCTCCATGTCACCCTTGCACTGACGACCACGTCCCACTCGCCGTTTCCCTTTCGGCCTAGTTCCACTTGAGCAATGGCCTGCGTTACGCGCGATGTCACCCAGCGGCCTCCACAGCGGGTATCCAACCCACCTCCACTTTTTCCTGCATATTTGTTGGTTGGTGATTGTTTTGTTTGTTCCCATAGTTTCTCGTTGGTGATTCCTTCCGGCCCGGCCCGGCCATCTGATCTTCAGTATAGAGCCAGCGAAGACAGTTGTTGATAAAGGTGTGGTCTGCGACAGGCTGTTGGAAATATTTTTTGTCACCCGCCCGCCAAGTTTCTGATCCGTATAGGAGAACTGACTGACTTGACGCTGTTTGTATTGAAAATCCTATGGAATTTTGTTGTTGATGGTGAGTGACGAAGAATTCCAGATTGGTTTCATATTGACGAATGTGTTTCTCGCCTTCCCTATTCTCGCTCGATTTGATATCCTCGTCCGTTCCGATTGCCTGTAGTTGAGACAATGCTCCCTCCCTAGATCAGTGAATGAAGTAACCTCTTTCAAATCCCTCTCGTTGATGGTGATAGGCGCTGGATGTTTCTGCTGTTGTTGTTGTTGGTTGGTTGGTTATTTTCATAACCTCCGCCTTGTCTATGTTCACCTGACGTATAACGTTGATTCAAATAATTGTCTGCTTCTGGCTTTACTATTCATTAAGCTACACATTAAAACAAAGTAAGGACAATTTTTAATTAGTTTCAAACTGATTAGCGACTGAAATCTGAGTAAAACTTTAAAAAAAGATTCTGATTTGATAAATTTGACTGCTTAATATATATATATATTACGGCGTTTTAAATACTTCGTAAAAAACATAGCAACTAGTCATGTAGTTATTTACGCCAGACGGTAGTTTGTTGATAAGCCTGTTTTTTTTTGGAATATGTGAGATCATTAGACAAATGACCATAAACAAGGAATACTAAGGTGAATCACGGATTAATATTTTTAATGGTAGTGAGTACTGAACAGTTAATCCTTATTCGGAGACTTTATTCAGTGCCTGCTGTAATGACCAACAAGTACTAATGTATCTCAAAGTCATAAAACAAACAGGGAAAACACCCGATGTGTTGAAGGTGAGACTTAGTTAGAAAATGGATTTCGTTGGTCAGTTGATCCATGTAATTAAGAGGCTTATTTCAACAGCCGGTGAGATTTTGATGCTTCACCGAGTATTTTGACTGGGTGAAAATAAAATAAAATTTCGAGTGAGTGACCAAGGAAAAATGCAGACAAAATAGGAAATTTACCTTGTGGTAATTCGCTTTCTTCATACGTAGGAGGTGGATGAGCATAACCCGCTGGACCTTGATACGGGGGTGGTGGGGAAGGAGGTGAGAAGGGTGGAGAAGACTGAGACAGCGATGACGCTACCCTTGTAGGCATTGTTGTTGTTGTTGGTGGTGGTGGTGGTGCCAATCTTTGAGACGGTGCTGACGGCAGTGGCGCTACAAAATGGTGAATACATAGATTTGCGTCACATAGCTTACAATAGAAGTTTTATACTAGAATTATCCATAAGACATCATACAAAAAAATATATCTTAAAATCCTATTGGCTCATATTCCCCAAATACAGGAATAGTTATGCAGTCCTGAAGAAATCTTGCCTGCTTTTCGGTCGACTTAAAGGATGAATAAATAAAGGGAGATTTTTTAGCATGACTACGGAATTGCTTGACAATAAAAGTGAAAATGAAAAGTGTTGTTAAACTGTTAACTTAAAGTGAAAACTTTAATAAATATTCTTCATATTATTTGTGTACATCGATTATTAACATGCAGTGATGAAATAGGCTATAACAGAAGAAGGGTAAGGCGATTCTGATGTAGATCATTTCTAGATTAATAAAATATGTGATAATGTGATACGGTTGACTATGCACGCATAAATTCGATGCTGGTGATATGATCTAGTATGATAACGAAGTCTGTTGGTTTGAAACTTATCACTTTTGCTGTCATAAATGAACCAACTAAAATAAAAGATTTTTTCTCGGTAAAAAAAATTGGGTCTAAGTAGGCGGTATATGAGGCATTGACTTATTTCAAATGAATTTTATTACTTATTAAAGTTGGCTAGCGAACTTTAAAAAAGAGACAAAGAGGTACAGAAAATCTGTCTATTTTCGATTTGATGCTATTTAGCAGAACACGTCCACGGGTCATACAAAACAATGAGTCCAGAAGCCTCAGTTGTCGAAGCAAACAGCATCCTTCAATTAGTGAAATTCAATAGTCTACAACTTAAAAATATAAACAGTGACTACCTAGTTGGCGTCCGTCGACAGCTGGAGGGCAGTATTAACTCCAGTTAGGTTCTAAACGACTTGGGTTTGGGTGAAGTAAAGGTTGAGTTTTATCAAAGGCCGCCTGGCTTCCTATTAAAAAGAAAACGCTCAAATACAGTCATCATATCATATGCCCTCAATACCCAAATAGGGAATCTGTGATGGTTAGAATAGTATACTGGGGGCACACATTTAGTCCCACCCCGATACGGACACTAGCAATCCAACTATAACTTAGGTTGTGAAAGCTATCCCTAATCTGAAACGAGGCAAGGCAGTGGGACTTGGTGGTATGACTTCAGGGACGTCTAAGGACCGCGATGATGGACTATTGACTGGGTTAACTAAGGAAATCAATTTATACGGGAGATAAATGATAATCATGGGGAGGGGACAACTTCACCAACATAATATCTAAAATCTCAAGCTCATGATCCTACACAGAAACAGATTTTAGGCACGAACGAAAATACATTGACCGTATCTTTAACTCACAACAGGTTCTGGAACACAGGCACACTTACCAGCGTCCAGCACTTGTCATATTTCTTCACCTGAAGATGACTTAGGGCTAGGACGCAGTCTCATCAATTTAGAGTATGTAGATGATATTTTTCTTCTAAGTGAAGACGCCGACTAAACGCAGTCTTCTGAAGACCTTCAAGAGAAACCTTGGTATGTCTGGTATGAAATTCTTCCCAGTCAAATGTAAGATGATACTACAGGACTGGTCAACACTGACTCCTGATTAGAGGAGCACATAAAGTGATTAGGTTTATTGGCCACATCACTTATTTAAGAAATCACATCAGCCCCAATGGACTGGTCCCTGACAAAATCTCAGCACGGATACAAAAATCTCGTGTGACATTTGCCAACTATCGTCATCCCTAGCATAAACGTGTTATCCAGCTATTGATCATAGGAAATGTGCATTTCTCAGTAGTTCGCTCCGTCCCATTTTAAGGCATTGACAGGGTCATTGAATGTGGCAGAATATGAAAAAGCTAGCTGTCTTTGACCACAGACATTTGTCTTCTGTTTCATGTTTTGTTAAGTGGTATAATATGGTAAGTAACATTGAGGTTAGAAAAGTTAGTCAATAGACCAAGTTGTGAAACCGCTTCGATTGAAGTGCCTAGGACAGACAAGTGTTGCTCATGCCCAGCTGCCGCCTTCCTTCTCGAGCAATGTTAGAACTGGAACAGAATTGGGTTGGAGAAGCGTTAGGTGTTGCCAACGGAAACCTGGAATAAATCCATATGAGGCATTTGACAAGCCAAGAACCTGAAACGTAACAGCTACATTTCACATACGAACAACTTTACTCTATTAAGATTTCTGTTTTTATTAGCGAACTATAAATTTCCAGTGAATATTGTGTAACAGCCATTGTGAGACAACGCAGTTAAGTAACGGCTACGTATATGGGACTTTCAGGATTTCATCATGAGCTGACATTAGTTAGAGAACCATTGGAAAACCTGGGAGCACTGGACAGCTGTTTCGTCCTAGTTTGGGATTCTTCACTCGATCCAATGGTCCCAGTGGCTTAATGGTATACGAGCTCGCCTTGTAACCGGAAAGTCCTGGGTTCGAATCCCGGTGGGTGCGTACTGCTAAAGAATCCCAAACTAGGACGAAATAGCTGTCCAGTACTCCCAGGTTTTCCAATGGTTCTCTAACTAATGTCAGCTCATGATGAAATCCTGAAACCAATCAAATCCCTACAAACCAAAACTTGAGTATATGGAACTGTAGATTTATGTGTAACAGTTCATTCTTATAATATTATTAGAATTCGGAAGAAAAACATAAAACGAAAAGGAATAAAGACGATACAACTTATCACTAATTTACTAGTAGGTTTAAATAACTACCTACCTTTGCATATCACCACTACCTTTTCCATATATACAGCGAATGCTGGTCACTGTCAGTAAACAAGTTTACATTTTATCTTCTACTGTTTCCAAATAAGAATCAAAGACTGCAGGGATATTTTGTCACTCATTCCATTCAATAAGCTTAAAGTGTTTATGTTCACCTTCTCTGATATTTGAGGATGATTATTCAAAACTGTTATCACTGTTTTTATGAATAATTACGCATACCACCAGTGATGTTTATATCCTGTTGACATGTTCATCTCTAATGTATACTATTAAGATTTTCATTCTGTCTGTTTTTGACATAGAACTTTGCACATATGTGCACCAGTTCAAGTCGCCACACTCCATGTAGCACACAAAGCAAGAGAAGAAACTAGAAGAAATGCATAATAGAGACAGTAAACAGAGGTGTGAGACAAAGGAAGAGTAATAACGAAGAAGAAAACAGTTTCATTGGAAATCATAAGTCACAAGGAGTGGATGCATCTGCGCTATGCATTGAGAACGATTTTGAGCCATGTGACCAATTGTTTCCAACCATAGGTTTTTACCGTCCTGAGGACCCCAACGGGTCAGAAAGTCTACACCTTCCTACATGGCTTAAACTAACTGTTGTAGATTTCATTGACTGGTGTCATGTTTTGTTTGACCTCTGCTTGCTTTTTTGCGGCCTGACCCTATGTCCGCTAACATTGCTCGTCGAGGGAGGCGATGACTTCGCATACGTAACACATATCCTAACCATCTCAGTCTATGTAACTTCACAACCTCGTCGATTGATCTCCCTGTTTACCTAGAACTCTACGCCTAACTTCAATATCGCTCACCTTATTATACCACTTCACACGGGAGATAGAACTCAGGCACCTACGATCAAAGACAGCTAATCTTTTCATGTCTTCCACTCTCAGTGGCCAGGTCTCACAGCCATAAAGGAGGACGGAGCGGACTGATGAGTAGTACACCCGCCCTTTGGTCGATAGTCGAACATCTCGTCTACGCCAGAGACGGCGTAAACTGGCAAATGCGAAACGAGCCCCCTGTATTCGTGCTGAGATTTCGTCAGAGATCAACCCGTTGGCACTGGCTGATGGTACTTCCCAAATAAGTGAAGCGGTCAACGTTCTCTACCACTTCACTCCCTATTTCTGATCTAGGAGTCGGTGTAGTCTAGTCCTGCAACATCGTCTTGCATTTGGCGGGAGCGAATCGCATGCCAAACATTCATAGATTGCAGCTCAAGGTGTTTAGAAGACTCTGCATTTTCATTGCCACATTGTGAGTGTAAGGAATTCTTCTTCCAATTATAGATTTCCACATAAACTAACGTTTAACTTTAAGTGTGGCTGAATCGGCGTATGTTCCGTGTCAAGTATATGACTCGAAATGAATCCTATCCCCTACGAGGTAATTATTAAAGCTATAATCGATTATCTTAGTCTGTATTAGTGTTTACACATAAAAGTTAACAGCTATAGCAGTTACATATAAATATTTAGATATTCTAAGGAAAGTATCCAACTTCCGTCACAACTATGAGCCTTTGCCGGTGAATATACAGGCCCTCTACAAAAAATGAAACACTACTAAGATCTTTCTTTGTTTTTACTGCAATACATCAAGTACAAAAAAAACTGTTATAACTGGGGTCCTGTGTTAAACTTGTACTGTTTTATGCCGTATTATCAAGTGCCATGTTAATAATGTCCATCTGTCCTATATATTCTTACAGCCAGTAGTAAAGAATCATACGCCAAGATGAGATGATTTTATTGTAAATTGCTCAGTAGACTAACTACTCTTCATCGCCTAGTATGATACGATACCAAACATTCTAGGCAATACTGCTCAGATAAGTGGTAACAAAAGGTGAATCTAGCCACTATGTCAGTGGAGAGACCCTACTTGGAAGTGAAAACAAATGAAAATCTTTTGAAAATTTCTGAGATAGGTGATTGAAATAATCCAACATGAGTATGGATACAATTGTTGAATATTCTATCGGTTGTTACCTTGTGTGCTACTTGAACCCACGTTACGGTTCTGTTGGGTCGAAAGACTTCCTGTTGAAAACCTTTTGAATGATGATACATCATTATGTCCACACTTTCGAGCACGTTTTCCAAAACGGTTACAATAATAGCACTCAGATTTTGTAGTTGGCCGGATCGGTCTTGAGGTAGATGCTTGACTAGATCGTGATGGTCCATATATGGGAACCCCACCACGATGTTTCTGCGAATAATAAAAAACAGAATACAAGAGAGAATAGAAGCAGGGGTCATCACGAACCAAAATCAGTTATAGGACCAGTGAAAACTAGGAAGAGCTGGACACTTGTTTCTTTCTAGTCTGGGATTCTTCAACATAGCTCACTCATGACCACGCAAGGAATTCAACTCTAGACTTACCTTTAAGCTGCGAAGCGAGCAAATTACCATTCACCAGCTGGGACAGAGATGCAATGACCCATGAATTCTAACTTCTACCTATTCGAGATATAGAACCTCACCACCAAGCAATGTCATGTGTTGGATATGATATCGAACTTGGAATCATTGAATCCCTTACAAGCAAACACTGAAAATTTACATTTTTCAAGAGTTATTGTGTCACACTTTATGTTAGTTAACGCAGTCATCAAGTTGTGAATTATTTTTTTAGCACACTGACAAGCGGCTGTGACTGCTTTATTGCTAGTTGTTGCGAAAGACCCTCATCAAAACAAAGTCCATTACGAAAATTATACTGACGAATTTTTCAAATAAAGAAAAAACTCACGAAAAAAAGACATTTTTAAAACACAGGGACAAGAACTGAAAGGATGCAATTTCTTGGGGCTGATTATTAAGAGCACATCGAAAAACGTTCTTTGCTCCAATCCAGTGTGTTACTTTCTCCAAGAACCCTAATCGAATAGTCAAAAAAAAACGTTCCACTGATGTTTGCATGCCAGTTCGCCTGATCCTGTGAAACTAAGCGCATAGACCCTGTTATTAAATAGAAAGGTAAGATCACCAGCAATTAAATAAACCATAGACAGCACACGTCAAGATCTGTGATCACCACTGAAATTCCCTACCAAGATGACAACTTTGAAATACAAAGTACTAAATTAACGTTCCGAGACTTCTGTAATCGACAAAAGCTATATGTAAATCATGACACAAAAAGCCTATCAATATCACATTTGTAGACTGCATCCAGTTTCAGGATAAAGTCTTTGCATCACGTGGTATCAAAATTGAAATATTTTGGAATCGCCTACGATATACCAGTGTTAATGAACTTTGTACCGGTAAGCAACAAAATCTGCGGGTTAATCCTAAGTTGTAGTAGAAGGGTACACAATAGTGAAGTAAAATCCCGGGTTCGCTACCTGTTATGTAAGAAGGAAATCAATAACCAACACAGAAGAACGACTTAATGCTCATCTCAGGTTTAATCACGGATTGATATCAGTTAGAAAATCACTGAAAACTAGGGTGTACTGGACATCTATTTCGTCTTGGTTTGGAACTCATCATCAGTATGCATCCACCGGCTTTCGAACTCAGGACCTTCTGTTTACATGGTGAGTTCATAGACCATCCAGCCAATGAGACTCGACTCAATGGTCGATGAGTTCTAACTTTTACCAACCAATGTTGTCAGTGGGCATTCATCTTCACACCCCTGAAGGATGGACCCTACTGGTCACGACTTCTCACTAGAATTCTAGGCAATATCATCCCATAGCCGGTCACAAGCTGTTCGTTCCTCTCTAGTTTTCTAATGGTTCGCTAACTGATAACAATCCGTGATCAAACTTGAAACAAATCAAATTCCTACAAACGAACTCTTGAAGATTAAATGCTTTTCGACACAGTGTTTTCCTAAGATACATAAAGCACACATACAGAAAATATGAGAATGATGGAATAAATGAAAATAAAACACATAGTTCAGCGAATTTATCTTCTTTAGCAGTACAGTTGCACTCATATACAGTATTTTTGATGAAAGAGAATAGTAACGAAAGTGATGAGTCGTCACAATCATAATTGTTAGTCAATACATAAAAGGGGTTGAACAAGTGTATTAGAGATATGTAACGAGGTGAATGAATGAGTTTCAATCAGGTTGCACATGGAAAAGAAAGAAAATATGGGATTATGTAAGCGTCCTAAAGAAATACAAAAGTTATAAGAAGTTAGAAAAACAAACAAACAAACAGAAATCAAGTCGGTAGAAATTGAATATATATGCAATTGTTCAGCTAAAGAAGATGAATTTACCGAAAACAGCCTCTTCTCTAAACTGCGCGTTTTGTTTATATTTATGTCTGGATGTGGATCATTCATAAGCTTAAGCATTTTCGCACAAACTACTTAGTACCGAGTGTAAACCTCGGCTGACATACTACAGCAGGTGGGTGATAACAAAAGCTTTTCTACCCAAATTGTTTTTCATAGACCCAAAAATGAAAGCCTAGTGTTCAGTTACATCAGTCGACAGATGATTGCCGCCTTTAAGTGGTGGTCTGCTAAGCATATCACAATGTCCCAACGAACTCGAAATTCAGATGTCTGTTGTCACTGAGACATATGTACCAGACCAAAGTGTAGTTATTCGCGTAACCCCATCTGACCAACAAACTGAATATAAGAAATCCACATTGCACATGTCAGGAGATAACTTGGCCACTTCTCTAGTTTTCTGGGTGTAAGGAAAGCACTGAGCTCCAGAGAACAATATTCAGAAAAATCCCAGTAGACAATCAACTGTGCCGTCCGCATGCGTAATATTAAAGAAAATGAAACTCGTCAGCTTTTCTTCATCTCCACTTGCACACTGGCAGCAGTTACGATGAAGTAGGGGTTCAGTTTTATCAAAAGCCGTCTGGTTCTCTAATAAAAGAAAAACGCTCAGATTCATTCATCTTATTATATGACCTCAGTGCCCAAATAGGGCGGCTGTGAAAGTTAGAGAAGTATATTGGTGGCACATATTTAGTCCTAATGCGACGAACCGACAGCGGTGACCACCTTTAACAGTTTTGTTAAGATAATCGTATGTTCCCCACTAGCACCTACTTCAAATATATAAGGAAAGACATTGCCTAAACTGAAGACCTCCATCATCCAAACAACGATGAACTCAAATATACCACGTAGCTATAAGTTATAGATGGATAGAAGACCACTATCCCTTCTGAAACTGTTGCTTAAGACCCCGATCATGTTTTAATCTGTAGGCATATATGCTGACTGAACGGATATAGGATGCTGTCAGCTACGAAGCCGATACAACTAATTCCGGAGGGACCTGAACAGTAAGAAGACAAGGATCTGATCACTACCATATTTGCCCAACAATCTCTCGATTACCTGAAAACCATCAAGCAAATGATCTTGCATTCCTCTGAAAGGAGGGGTATCAAACTGTATGGTGCATACTACTGACCAAAGTTAGCTTGACACCTAATGACCAGTGATTTACGTGTATAACCCGTCTGGACTATGATAACAAGGGGACTGAGTGACAAGCAGCCAAACAACCATCAAGCAATAAACGGAAATTTACAATCAAAAGACTTCTTTACATGACTTCATACCAGTTATCTTTGTAAAGTAAAACCCAATCTTTCACGTTACTTGTTAGCAGTTGCATACTGTCACTGATAAGCAGTAATGCAGAGGTGTCCAAATCAGATGAAGTAAAAGCTTAAAACCTTTCTGAATGCTTTTGTGATGCTTCCTCGTCTGATCGTACCACCGCGGGTTTAGCCATCGTCACTAGAATGACCTCAAATGTGGAAGATAATGCAGGGGTTCCTCGACTACTGTCTAAACTGAAATCAGGTAAATCGTCAGGACTTGGTGGAGTCTACCTCGGACTGCCAGTCCGCTTGGCGGACATAATATACATCCCACCTACGGAAATTTTCAAAATGTCTGTGACTTAGACTAGGCAATCCAAGGACTGGAAGGATGTTATAATAAACTCCATCTAGATACAGGCCTTTAAGTCTGACATGCGTTATAGCAAAAGGTAATAGAACCAATCATACAGGATCAGATATTATCTCATTTGGAAAAACATGGCTTACTGGCTGCGGAACAGCATGGATTCCGACCACGAAGATCCTGTCTAAAAATCTTACTGTTAGCTAAGGATAAAAATATACTGTTGGACGTCTTCATCAATTTGACTAAAGCATTCAATACAGAGTCCAATTTAGGTTGTTATAGTAAACTAAGAGGCTTTTTATTAGACCAGCGCTATGTGAGTTTAGTAACTAATGGGTAGAAGACAAAAGAAGAGTTTTAGAAGCGTATTGTCAGGAAGGAAAGCAGTATTGAGTGGAGTACCGTACGGAACCATACTGCGCTCCTTGTTATTTCTATAATGCGTCACCGAAAATGTTTGCCTTATCCGTACTATTATCTGAGGACGATATTAAGTTCTAGGAAAATGTAAATAATAACGATGACAGGTCGGTCTCACAAAGTGATCTAGATAAATTAACCAAATGGTCGAACCTCTGATAAGTGGGAATTAATGCATGAAAAGCACGGTAATGAACTTAGGTAGGGGATTTTACAAGTCGTAATCCATGGAAGACACAGAAAAGCCTGATGTTAAGGGACCAAAGGATTTTGAAATTTGATGATTGATTTACAAGATGAAAACCCAGTGACATTCCTACAAAAGTTAGAATATACCACACACTATTTTAAAACGGCATTCTTTTTATAGAAGCCAAACATCTATGTACAATACCATATGAAATTGTACCATCAAAAGTCACATTCTCAATACTCAAACAGCGTACTTTCACGTAAACTATCATTACATCACATCCTCTAAGACTGTTCTGTATCATTAGTCCATCTGTTGGAGTAGTATAGAAATTTTCTTACTAAAACTGCAACAGATAAGTGAGGAAAAACAAAATAACAAAATGAATTCCTCTAAATATCCATTTACCCCAGTCGCAACAACCCTAATTCATTTCTCGAAGTACCCGGAGGTAGTGACTATCTCCTGCAACGGGGTCATTTCTAATGCTAAGTCTCACTTAAAAACTGATCTCAACAGCAAAAAATTTATTTATAAAATATATTTTATCGAGGTTTTGAAAGAACTGCATACTTTGGTGACCATGTGCGCATTGTCATGTGCCAAAGTTTATTTTCAAAATCAGTATCCGAACTAATATGACATCCAACCGTACAACTCTGGAAAACACTAAATGCAACCAACATCTTACCGTTGCAACTAGGCGATAAAATAGCAATTTCTAAACAACGCGTTTTTAACTTTCATTATATTAGCTGCGATACATTGATACCCACGGGGAAATATGAAGAGTTGAACCGTAAATCGCAGCCATATTTGAAGGACTTACCATCTCAGATAATTTAAGAGGTTGCCTTAGCCGCACGAGATGACAGCGATACCAACAAAAAATAACCCAGCTGTCCGACCGAACCAGTGAAGGTCACTGTTGTATTGCCGCAAAAGACGAAGGTAATGTGTATTTCATATTCAATTTTTTCAACTTCAAGGTATTTACACTTTCGGAGAGGTAAGATAAGTATTTTTAAGTGATATATGCTAACGTACTAAATAAATATGCCTTTGATCGTAATTTATTGCACAAATTTATCCTGATCCTAAATGGAAATTGGTCTTTACAGAGTTTACTGTTACAATTACGACTGAAAGACCCCTAAATATAATTTAGCATAAAATAATGTATACAACGAATAAGAGTTTAAATAAATTTATTTCTATCATAGAAAGCTCAAATATGGTATACATACAGCAAGGTACGCGACTGGGGCGGCAGGCTCGCATTTTCTAGTGGTTATATCACAGAAGGGCCTGAGCAGACATGATAATCTTCATGGATTCTTTTTGTGACAGTGTAAACTCATGATATACTTGGTTTTGTTGGGGATATGTTGTTTCCTATTATAATTGTACTCGCATTGATTTTAGTTAGAAGCAATTTACAGAGAAAGAAGAACGAATTCCGGATGGTGTAAGTATGAATGCTGCTAGTTGGGTAGGCGTGGTGTTCGGAAAATTCAAAGCTTCACCACTCTACCTAAAAATGGTGATGGTACTTGACAAACCGGTCATAGTCTACCTTTTTAGCTGAAACTTCACTAATATTGATGTAGCCATGGGCTACTAAATTTTCCAAATTGCTTCCGAATACTTCAGTCTGTTACTTGGTTTTCAGTTTGATACAAATGTCATGGGAACTGAACTCAGCGAGAATGTTAGAGAAGTTTTTTAGGGAAAAGTCAACGAAGCGCTATGAGTCCGAAATCCTCTAGATATGGAGAAAAATACAGTTGCGAACAACGAAGCAGCTTCAGGAGCTAGTGTTCAGGTATTCGTTTGCAGAAATCGCAAAAAATGTGACGTAGGTGGTAATGAGTCTTTCCGATTACTATATGTGGCTGTTGAGTAAATCAGATGTGATATAAATTATAATTATTTGGAATTCACACTGTTTGAATTAATGACGACAAACCCCAATAGCACTTTCCCAGTCTTGGAAACGTTCACTGCTTCAAATCGATTGATTTCTGGTTCCCTGATATATTTATGGTTAATTGTTGTTCATCTATCATTTTGAATACGCGTTTCAGTACCGTCCACTTCTGCTTCGCATAACATGGGGACGGGGTAATCTGCTAAGAGATATTAGTGTTTAATTATGTTTGGCAGTTACCTTGCTAATTCTCAACGACCACAAGTTTAAGATGGAGCTGACTTTTGGTCAGTCGTTGAGTATAACTGAAACTACTAGCATACTGCATACAACTTCATTCGCCCTTGATGCTGAGAACATATGTCCCTACACTGGCTATCAGTTGAACTGAAAGCAGTATAATGTAATTCCGCCTTGTCCCAGTGACAAGTATTACTCTTAAAACTCAGTTTTGGCATTTTAGTGACTTTTTTACAGCAAAACTTGCTACACATGATGACATTTAAAGGTGAATCTGCTGTTTCACAAACTTCACGCATTTACCCTTGACAGGCATCAAAATATATTTCCGCAACAGAAATACCCCACCAAAGACTCCTGCACACTTCTTTGACTGACTCAGCAGCTTATGTGCCATTCATAATCATTACGTGTAGAATATTGCTGACTCAAGCTGTCAGTAAACGAAAATGATGATTTCTCAGCACATTCGGATGTGCTACTTCGGCTTAAGTCTCTGACAGAAAATCACTTAAAAGTCTTCGTCTTCACATAGGGTCTCCAATCATCTGGATTTGCAGGTGTTCATACGTGACCGCTCAAACGGCTAGGATAAGATGTCAAGTTAACTTAAAATGACAAGACCGATGATTGCCAGTACCTAATTCACTTACAGCTGATTACCAGCTCAACAGTTCCTATATTGCGAAGGGCTCGAAAAATCTACCGCATGTCCAATTACTGGTAAAATTCTGTCCATCTATTGCATTCCGTTTATTCGTTACCACACTGATGTCGTGACCTGAGGCATTTCATAAAGTACTACCTCCTTAAAAAGCATAGCCGTGTACCTCAAACACCAACAAATCAATTGATGCGAATTCTGAATGAAATTTTAAACTGAAGTCATTATCAAACTCATCAGTAAATGTGTGGGTGCCGCAGTTTAATGATCACAGAAACTGGTCACGTCACCTAAAGAGGATAATTTTAATGAGACCGGATTGCTTAAGTCACCTGCAGCTGCAAAGAAGGTACCGATACTCAAGAAAGTGGCTCCTGTCCAATTCATCTTGAGACCGATCAGCTATAACTCTCCTTTCACTCATCATATCATAGTTTCTGACATCCACTGAATCGCTTGCTAAAAACCACAACAATGAAATAATCAGTAGACTGGGGAAACACTGTGAAAAGGTGCAGTCTATGTTGATATGTTATGATCAATTTCTTCCTATTGAGTTTTGAAACAGGTGCTCCACCCTTTGTAGTGGAAGCCCTAAGTTTGCACCAGTTTCAAAAGAGTTCTCGGAAGGTTATGGTGCATGAGTCAAGAATACTTATACCTAGCTAGCTGATGGTAACATACAGGGAGTCGTGAGTCAAGTTCACATGTCTGATGATACACTTTAGTGAGATTTATCTACAGACTTTAAGAGGAGAAACTCAACTCGTACTAACATCTAGGATCAGAACCACTATATTCAACGTATCCATTCGGATCTTACACTGAGTGAATCATGAACACAAACGACCCAGTAGCAAAGTCTATAACCATGGGGCTGAATGATGGAAGTTAGAATCTTACAGTGGAGGTCATAGCTCCTTAGAGACTGAGGGTGTTGATGTTTACGGATAGTATGATTTATCATAACACAGGATCTAATACCCACGATGTCTGTAATATTCATTCCGCGTAGACTGAAGCAAAACACCAGAATTGCGTTTGTGGGCCCTCTGATGTACGATGGGTGATCTACCTCTGGTGATAAACTTGAGGGAAGGAAAAACACACCTGACAATCGTAGTGTTTTGCCATATGCTAGCTCGCGGTAGTACAACCAGCATCAGTTTACAAGGCATTTCGTATCCCTAGGAGAACTAACGGAAGTAATTCAGTCCAATGTGCATTGTTTGCAGCTGATGATCCGGTCCTCAACTATCGGTGTAAACATCCCACTATATCATTATATTGAAGATGCTAGGCTGTCGTTCGAAAATGCATGCAACCTATGATCCTAGTCAGGGGAAGGATGAGCCGCTTCCGAATTGCCGCCCGCGATCAGTTGTTATGGAGGATGGGCATCCAAAGTTTGCGATCCATCTTTCTACGAAGACGTGTGCGACTGTTTCAGCGGATGCATCATTGAGGGGTGCTGCTTCACGCCATCGTGTGAAACGATCGATGCAAGTTAGAATATAAGTATATCCATGGGATTCCGGAAGGAGTCCAACCAAATCTATGTGAACGTGTTCGAAACGAGGGATAATAAAGGTACCAAGGGGGCTTTTGTGTCTCACTACCTTGCACTTTTGGCAAGCTAAACACGTGTGTATTCATCCCCTTACTTCCTTATTATTATCAGGCCAACAAAACCCACTAGTTATGACCTTGACGGTAATTCGAATACCTAGGTGGGATAAGCCATGCAACGTATTGAAGGCGTTACGGCGGTAACTTTTACGCACGACGGGGCGAGGGTTACTCGTGGAAATGTCGCATAGAATAGTATCTTTTTTCATACCCAAGGGTTTTTCGGCTAATCGCGGAGTTGTTTTCAACAACTCGTGCTGAAGCTCGGTACCTTCTTTATGAAGACGAGCCGGCTTCACAAAGTCTATGTAGTCTGTTTGGGTGAGGGAACAAATGCGCGAAAAGGCACCTGCCACAGTGTTGTTCACTCCGGACACATGGCGAATATCCGATGTAAACTGTGAAACGTAATCTCCCTAGGTGAATACTTACCTGAAGTTGAGTTCAGAGAGTAATTCACAGGTTTGTGTTCGGGTAAATTATGAATTTACGACCGTCCGCTGAATATCGATAGTGGCGTACCACACAATACACAGCCAGAAGTGCTCTACCGGATGTGCTGTACTTCGTTTCTGCTAATTGTAAGCGCCTCGAGAAAAAGGCGAGTGTCTGCCACTCTCTGATGACTATTAGTTACAGAACTGCGCCAAATGCAGTGTGTGAGGCATCAACCGAGGTATTTAACGGTGACGTTGGATCCCGATGCATTACAAGTGTGGCATCCGCAATGTCTTTTTTACCTGAATGAAGGTACTTCTAGCAGACGCATCAAGTTCGAGATAATTATTGTCCTCTCGAAGGTCTGTTAGTGGCTGAATCAGGGAAGCACAGATGTAGATAAAGCGTCAGGAATTACTTACCAAGCCGTTAAAAGTGCGAGGATTTTTTGGCTGTATTTGTCTCCTGAAAGTCTAGAGTCGCCTCAGATTAACCGGACAGTGGGTGGATATCCTTGATGTCAACGGTGTGGCCGAAAACGTTGAATGATTCTACTCGTGACAATTTTGAACATTATTGGCAACACGATGTCAGCGTAACCTTACGAATGCCAAGTTCAAGTGTCTAAGGTGTTTTCTTGTTGAGACTACCAATGGGGCTGAAAAGCTGGATCAAAGATCTATTTCTGCTCAACTACTGACAAGCTGGAACCTACATAGGTGACTCCTTTAACAGACAGTCTAGCGGTACCGTCTATCAGTCTTTTTCGGAGGACATGTACGAATAGATCATGATGGTTGAGTAGGTCCTATAATAGACTATTGTGACGTCAACGATAAGGAAAATCCACTGAATACGTTTGCGTACACCCACGTTCTGGTAGATGTATTTTCTACCAAACTTTCCAACAGGTTTCCCATTCGCAGTCTGTGAGTTGAAGGTAGATTTATTTTTCAATGTGCCTCTACAGCAGGAAAGGCACTGACCTAGTGTCGGCTCTGGTCGACTACAACGTGGATGTATAGTAGGCGGTTACTGA